CGGCCCGTGGTGCTGTGTGGGTTCATCCCTGTTTTTAAGGATGAAAAGTAAGTATTCCAGTGTGTGTGCCCACTGGGTTCCTCTATCCATTCTTCTACCCATGGGCGTTGGGGCTGTGTCCAACCTCCTGCTGCTGGGGACAGCGCTGCGATGAACGCCATGGTGCCCGTGTCTGTGCCATGGCTCTCGCTTCCGTAGGGTACGTGCCCAGCAGAGGCACTGCTGCCTCGCAGGGACCTCTGTTCCCAGCTGGCTGATGGTGTCTCCATGTCACTCTGCACACAACGTAGGAAACTTTGTCCCCAGTCTTTTCTCGCTTGCAGGACGCGTCGACTTACTATGTTCCTTTTATTGGTGTTTCCTCCTCTCACCTCTGAAGCCTAAACTTAGACTTTTTCTCTCTCTTCAAGATTCTGTCCTTTCACCGAAATTTGGGATGCTTCCAGAATATCCCACTCGGGTGTGCTTCCAGCATCTTTATAAGTCAGTAGCTCTAGAACGGAACTCGGCATCTTTTTCTACAATCCTTCCTTCCCCGGCCATTTGGCATGGATCTGTCAGTGTGTCGTCCTGGTGGCTTGTACATTGCTGTGATCCTGGAAGTGATGTCACTGTATTTCTGATGCCAACGGGGTCACCAGTGCTGGACAGGTTTCAGCAGTGCTTCCAGACTAAGACAGACCAGGAAGAAGGGCGTGGCCATCCACTTCTGGAAAATCTAGCCCCTGAAAACCTGATGTGTGGAGCATTGTCTGATCTGATGCTGCAAGGTGAGCTTCTCAGGGTGGAAGCCACTCAAAAGTGATCAGGAGACCTCACAGAGGAAGACCCCAGTGACAAGGCTTGCACAGGGCTGCGAGCGTGGGGCGTGAGGATGGCGCAGGATCAGCGGGAGTTGGAACCCACTATCAAGCAATGCAGGTTGCCCATTGGCAAAGCAAGGAGAGATCCCAAGCTGTCCCTTGGATTCACTTGTTTTCTTTCCTATCCAGTCATTCCCTGTTGTCATCCATCGTTAATAGCCTGCTAGATCAGTGGTTCTCAACCTGTGGGTCACGACCCCTTTGGGGATTAAACAACCCTTCAAAGGGTCCCCTGATTCATACCAGTAGCAAAACACAGTGATGAAGTAGCAACGAAAAAATTTTCACGGTGGGGGTCACCACCACATGAGGACTGTCTGAAAGGGTCGCGGCACGAGAAAGGTTGAGAACTGCTGTGCTAGATGAATCTTCCATCCACCCACTTCCTTTTTTTCTTAAAAAAATCAATTTGTTGGGGCCTTTTACTGCTCTTATCACAATGCACCCATTGTGTCAAGCACATTTGTACATAGGTTGCCATCATCATTTTGACAACATTTTCTTTCTGCTTGAGCCCCATCCACCCACTTTCATGTAAGATTTTAATTGTATCAAGTCACACTCATAAATAAAGCGTGCTTGTGGATTTACACTTTCAAAGACCGTTTTATCTAACCAAACTCTCTCAAGCTGCCTCATCCCTGTTTGAGCACGACTTGCCTCCTTCCTGGCTCTCCCTCCAAACCCCATTCTCGGGCCTCCCTGAGAGTCTGTCCCTTTGCCCTGAGCAGATGCCCACATGGGTCATCCTCCTGTCTTCACTGGTCAGCATCCTGAGTCACAGTTCCCTGCCTCTACCATCATGTGCATCGGGAGAACCAACACCCTGCAGTAACCTCACCTCAGGTCCAGTCCAAACAGCCTCCTCTGTTCCTGGAAGAACCTCAATTCATGATCACTCCCCTGTCCTGGGCCATTCTGCACAACCGAAAACATCTAGGCACATGACCTTCCTATCGCCTGACTCTGTTTAAGCCCGATCCCTTTCCTCACACATCCCCCGTAGCAACCCCTCTAGGCAGTCATTCTGCTGCAGAAGAACTTGCTTCCTGTTCTCCAACTCCAAACGGCATCTGCTCCACATAGTGTGGTCCACTCCAGCATGGGGTCTTCTGTGAGCGGCCAAGCAGTGGTGGGAGAATAGGGCAGAGTGCCCCCTTCTTAATTCTGGCCACAGCCTTGATAGGATGGAGGGAGGTTTCATTCCGGCTGCGGCCTACTCGCAGGACACACTTGACTGCGTGCAGAGGCTAGCTCCCCTCTACTGCTGGATCAGGTGCTGCATCTGATTTTGTCAACGTTCTGCTATATTGCCTCGATCCCAGGAGCCATCCGCAGACTGCCGACCTTGGATCCATTCAGCTCTGCACCCACCAGCCTGCGCTCTTCTTGCTTTGTGTCTGGATTCCCATCTGTAGCCCTGCAGCTGCAGGGGTCAGGAGAAGCCTCCAGCTTACCTCTGATTCACAGACTCACGCTGGACAGGACTTACCCACTTCTACACTGGCGAGCCATCTCTTGACCTAAGTCTCTTCTGTAGACATGCCCAGACAAGTGTCACTGGCTCTGCTTGCCTGGAGAACCCAGCCGGATATACATTTAC